GGGGTACGAAAGAAAAAGGAGTCAATGATGACTCAGGTGTTCGCGCTGAGCCAAATGGTGGTGCCAGTTATTCAAATCGAATAGATTAGATTTGGGAAGGAACAGATCGAGAGTTCTGCTTTGGACATGTTAAGTCCCTGGAAAGATCCTGTAGGCGGTGTTGTGTTGTTTGCTTTGCTTTGCTGCGTTTTCACCGGCAGGCGTGGCTCTGTGTTTTTCTCTAGCTGTAGTTATTGGTGACCCAGACACAACTATGGAGAAAGCAGACAAGTGATCCACGACTGAGATTATGTTGATCGGCTTTAACAGAACAAATGGCAAGAGAGTTAAGGAGATTGGAAAGAGACTGAGTGAAATGATAGATAATTGAAATCCCCACTCCTTGAACCAATTTTAATTAGTCAGGACCAATCACAAGCGGTGGAAACCTAACCCACACTAGCGAAGCAAAAGGGGAACCAATGGTCCGTGTGGCTGGATAGGGCATTGAAGTAGCTCACAAATGGGAAGGAAGAGCTATAAGACATGGTCTTGGTCGTGGCCTTGAACTGGGCGTGGACAGATGACTGTGTGACCCCGTGTGCCCCACATGTGAGAGGGGGAAAGTGACAGATCCAAGACAAAAAGGATGAATGGGCTCTGCAGTGAAGGAGAGGGAACGCCCAATCCAGCAGATCAAAATCGCTCAAACACTGAGCTCCCTGAAATAAAGTACACCTGACATTTTCCTCCCCTGACAGAGACGCAGTGTTCCTGCAAAATCAGTGTTCAACAACCACCTTTAGGATCATGGGAGACGAGAACAGCTTTGCGTCCATCAGCTCCAGTTAAATAGCACGAAGCAGGGCTGTGACCAAGCCCTTCCTTTTTTGTATGAAACACCTAAGATGAGCGTAGATGTCCTAGATGCCGCCTTAGGAGGGCCACAACTCCTCCTGTTTGCTGAGATTTGTTGACCCTGCACAAATCAGGAGCAGCCGCCACAAACAGCCCAGCCAGTCATTATGAGAAAACACAGCCTCATGGAACTCTACCATTACGTTTGGCAGACCATTCATTAGACAGGCAGTTCTCTAGAAGTGAACCAGCAGCCCACCTCACTCTGCACCTCGGGCTCATCCCAACAGGCCCAAGTAAATGCACGGTGACTCAAACCAGAGGCGCTTCACTCCCACATTTGTCTGTGGGCAGGCAGACATTCCAAGTGGCTCCCATGAAGTGGGAGGCAACATGCTGCTCACCTGTTCCAGCAGCAAGGGTGGGAAGAGACAGTACCTGCTGAGGACCCCAGGCCCCTTGAAGGAACATTTCCGAGGCTTCCACAAAGCCACAACTGAACAGCTTGCTTGTGGATGCCCTGATGCCCACAGCACAAGAAATCATGCAGCCAGTTCTACGTGGAATCCAGTACCAGGAAAGAACTTTCCTCTCAAGTGACCTTCTACAGGCGATAGAATTGTATAGCGGGCATTTGCGTGGGTTGGCCCAAGCATGCCACATTTGCCACCCCTGATAGAGTCCTCTGGGTTCAGTCGATGTCAAGCCTGCTTCAGAAACCTAGTCACAGCAAGAAACTTGTGCTGGGCCCCTGGTTCATCCAGTCTCTCCTTGCTTCTGAATAGCTCTTGCTTTTATCTGCCTCGAATCTGTTTGGGGAGCTGCAAATCATAAGTGCTGCCCACATTATGCAATTATTTGATGTAGAGGCAGCACACTGCAGGACTGACTGCTTTGGTAAATTCTTCAGGGCCACCCCTCCCACATCTGTCCCCACCTGTGTGTCCCCGAAGCTCCCCCCACCTGCCTCCCAGGGTTGCTCCCTTCCCTTTGAGATGGCATCCTCTCCAAGCTGCATCGCCTTGCACAGCCCCACGCAAATCCCCCTGGGAACCTCGATTTCCTTGGCTGTAATACAATCCCCATCTCCCTTATGTGGCTGCAGATGCCCAGATGAGGGGACACAGGCGAGGAGTCTGCTAACGGTGACATCCTATGTAAACACAAGGCCAGTCCTTATCACGGGGCAGCCAGAGGGGCATAAGTAGCTCCTTCCTCCCTTTATCTGCTCTCAGGATGCGTCATCTCTGCTGCATGGAGGAAGTTCGCTGGGCCAACACCACCATATGTTTTGGGATGGGAGGGTGGGGGGAAGGGCGTCCTCAGAACTTTTTAAATTGAGTTATATCATACATATAGAAAAGTGTATAAGCCAATGCATTTTTGCCAATGTATATACTCATGCAACCACCACCCAGATCAAGATATGGAACATTTCTGTAACCCAGAAAGTACCCCATACTCCCTCCCAGGCACCTGCCATCCCCTCATTTCTAACACCATAGATTAGTTTTTCAGGTTCTTCAACTTCATATAAAAGAAATCATACAGCATATAGCTTTGTGTCTGGCTTCTTTCACTCAACATGTTTTTGAGGTTAATCAATGTTGTTGCAAATAGCTCATTTTATTCTGTTGGTACATGCTATTCCATTGTATGAATGTCTGCAGTTTGTCCATTCTACTATTGATGGACAGCTGGGCTGTTTCCAGTTTTTAGCTATGATGCACTATGTTGCTATGAACATTCTGGTAAGTATTTTTGTTAGGCATACACACTCATTTCCCTTGGGTGTGCACCCAGCAGTGGAAATGCTGGTGGGCACATGGCCAGCTTCGGTAGAATCTGCCACACAGTCTCCTAGTGTGGCCGTCCCCATTTCCACTCTCTGCAGCAATGACCTCAGAATGTTTTGTTTTGTTTTGTTTTTTTGATGGCACCAGCCTCTTCTCTTCATCGTGCAATAAAGAGAATGAGCCTGCACTGTGGAGTAAGACCTCAGCTCACGTCTCGGCATCACCACCTGCCTGAGTGACCTTGAGTGTGTTACTTAACTCTCGGAGGTTTGGTTTCCCCCCCAAGGGTAAACTGCCCTCCCCAGCCTGACTTGGCATCCATGTCAAATAAAGAGACCAGACCATACGCTCAGCATTTACAATTGACACCCTGCCTGGCAGGCGGTCCGCACCACGTGAAAATTCTCTCCCTCCCTCTTGCCCACACCTGAAGCTCCCCATCCTGCAATCACGGACTACTAGGCCCTTTTACCCTCGTGGAGCCCTTTCAAATGCCTACACCTGTGATTCTGGGAATGTGCTTATTACCGTCTTCCCCCACACTTACGTGCCGGGTGCTTCTGTCCGTCCCACCACAGCTAGTGGGGAAAATCCAGGGAGTCGGGAGGGACCACGCTGGATCAGTGCCTCCCAAGCAGAAGTCAATAGAAGGTGCTTCTTGCAAAGTAACTCTGGGCTTTGACTAAAGTAAGGTCCAAATTTACATCACCTGCTAAGTACTGTGTGGAAAGATCTCCAAGAATCATGTTAATTTAAACAAGCAAAATGCAGGACAGGACAATACTTTGCCACTTTCCTATAAAAAGGAGAGAGAAGGGTATGTATTTATATTGACTTACATCTAGAAATGGATACACAAGACACTAAGAACATGGAGCTGTGGGAACAGCAAGGACTCAGGGCAGGCATGGGAGATGTTTCAGCGTCTTTTATGGCTATTGAGCTTGAATCACATCGATGGATCCCCTATTCAAAAAAATTTTAGGACTGGCCACATGGCCTAGTGGTTGAGTTCAGCGCACTCTGCTTCAGTGGCTGGGGTTCATGGGTTCAGATCCCAGGCACAGACCTATGCACTGCTCATCAGCCCTGCTGTGGTGGAGACCCACATATAAAGGAGAGGAAGATTGGCACAGATTAGCTCAGGACTAGTCTTCCTCAAGCCAAAAACGGGGAGGATTGGCAACAGATGTTAACTAAGGGCAAATCTTCCTCAGCAAAAAAAAAAAAAAGAAAAGAAAAGAAAGAAAAAAAATATATATATATAAATTAACATATAGACATACTTTAAGTTATGCCTCAGGTGACTATGAATCGCTGACATAAACTCCATGAAGATGTCTGGTGTATCAACCCTGGCAAAGCAAGAATCCCTGTTAGATACATGCATGCAGGTGGGTATGCATATGGGGTTGTGTGAGGGTGGGTGCACATAGGCACAAGTATAGGTGTGTCTATGTTGGACATCTCCATCATAACCTGAGGTGAGGGGGGAGAGGATGTGGAGCCATATCAAGGGCAGTGCCCTAAACTTCCGAGAAGAAAACCCAACCTAAGCTCACACAGAGTTAGGCCAGGGGGGCCCACCTGGCTTTTCACTTCCTCTACCACCCAACCCCTCAACTCTATAGAATTCAAACTCTATCACTAGAGATCTGGAGTAAGAAAATGGCTAAATGTTCATTAAGGTTCCATGCGTGTGGGTCAATGTAGTTAAGCGTAGTATAAGGCTGTGGGGTGGTTTATCTGGGTTAGAGTGAGTGTATGTAGGTTTGTGTATGTGTATGCAGGTGACTCCATATGAGAGATATGTATGTGTGTGTGTTTACTCAGCAAAAAGGGCAGAAAAGACTCCCCCGCAATAAGTGGCAGGCCCTTGGAATATAGCAAGTGGGTGACACTTAGAGATATCTCCCTGCCCAAAAAATGGCCAAACTAGCCACCTTCCCAGAAGTCAACAGCAGGCACCCTAATAGCCAGACCCAGGGCTCCATGGCCAGGTGACACTGAGTAATAACACATCAGAGCTTGGCATGGAGCCTGAACAGGTGTCCCCTCCCATGGAACTAACCTTCACTCCACATGGCCATGTCACCCAATCAGGCTCTGAGAAGTCTGGCAAAAGGCCAGCAGGCAGACCCATGCCTGTCCTGAAGGAGCTGGGGTTGGGCAGTAAGGGGCCCTTATCCCCAAGGGGCCTTGCCAGCAGGAAGGCAAACAACCACAAACAGATTAGGGTGAGGGGATCCCCCTTCCAGTAAAGGTAGGCACCTGCTCTTCTGAGGCCACAGCCAGGCTACAGCTCCCCCCACCATCCCCCTACTCAAAGGAGGTATGATTAAAAAAAAACACACACACACAAGAGGCTGAGGAAAATGGAAGAGAGGAGCTGAGGAACTTGGGAAGGGCAAGCCTCTTTTATTATCCCAAAATGCAAAGTATTGAAGGCACTTACAATAACAAGGGGGGAGGGGAGGGACAGGGAGGTCAGAGGTCAGATCACAGAGGTAAATCAACGGGCCCCACCCTGGTCACCACCCGGCATGGAGAAAAGGAAAAGCTACAGGGCCAGGTCCAAAGCCAGTTAGGGTGTCTATCCCTACAAAAGATACAAGTCCACTCTACAGAGGATTAGGAAATTAGGAACACACAGCAGCAAGGGGCAGGGCTGGCAGTCACGAGTTAGTGGTTCTTTAAGGAACACTCTTGGCAGTGAGAAGGCCCTCAGGTCCCCTGCTGGAAGAGGTCTCGGTACATCTCGATGAGACGGGCAGCCTCACGCTGGCCAGAGAGCAGAGCACCATGGGTGGTGGAGTAGTATTTGCGGTGGGTGGCCTCACCTGAGAACAGCACCTGCATGGGCTGGGTAGGGGGACAGGGAAGTGAGGGTGGAGGGGCAAGAAAGACCAAGAAGCTGCCTGTCTTTCCCAGAACCTCCCATCCATACTATAAGAGAGGAATGAGCAGACATCTGAGATGCAGGTATTGCTGCTTCTCCAGAGGATGAGGAGTTGCCCATCCCACCTGACCACTTTCCCCTGCTTCTTCCCCAAACATGTAGGCCTCAGTTCTTTCTGTTGTGAGGTTTTTAGGAGTCCTGGCTATGCAGTCTGAGAGGCTCACTGTGCCTCTTACTAGTGAACTCAGGCTCACTAAAAAGGTTTAACCTCCCTTGGCCTTGATTTTCTTATCTGCAAAATGAGTTTATACCACCTCCTTCTGAGGGTGGTCATAAGGATTAAGTGAAAGAATGTATCTAAAGCACTTAGAACCTGGAAGAACATAAGCACTCAATAACGTTAGGTGGTAATTTAACAAACCTTTATGGAGCCCCTAATAGGGTCCAAGGACTGTTCTGGGCACTTGGAAGATAAAAGGTGACCGGGCTGCTGCTTTGAGGAGATTCCTTGCTGGGTGGGGAAGCCAGACACGAAACCTGATTACTAAACGGTGTCAAACATGATGTAATGGGTGTTTAGGCAAGGCGCTGAGAGCCCAGAAAAGAGGCCCACTGTCAGGGGGTCGCACAAAGCTTCCCAGAGGACAGGACCTTTGGGCAGCTTCTCAAAAGATGCTGGGTAAATAAACCGGCAAAGGACGTTTTGGGAAGAAGGAAAAGTGGGGGTGAAAAACGCTAAAGCAGGCCTTGTCTAGGGGACACTGAGAACTTTGGAACAGCCACAGCTCAACCTCCAGAAAGCAGGCTATCTAGGTGGAGTCCAGGCAAAGTACAAGTGCACACATTCCAAGCTTGAGTCTAGACTTTATCCCAGTGCATCTCAACCTGAATGTGCAAAGGCACCAGCTGAGACCCTGGTAGAAGGCAGTTTTTATTCGGCAGGTCTGGGGTGGGCTGAGTCTACATTTCCAACACACTCGCACATGATGCTGGGTTGTTGGTCCACAGACCACCCACTTTGAGCAGTGAGGCTGTAACCCTCTAACAAGGAGCCTGCAGAGGTGGTTAAGCTGAAAGAGGGGCACGTCCTGTGGCAGAGGGCAAGCTGCCTACTTCCACATCCCTTCTCCTCTTTCTCCTCAGTAACAAAGCCCTGATTTTTAACTGGGTCCACTGCCATCCAGAATAAAGATGACGTGTCCCAGCCTCTCCAGCAGCTGGTGTAGTCATGTGACTAAGTTCTGGCCAATCAGCTTCAAGTGCATGGTTGCTTAGAGACACTGATTCAGCCCCAGGGGTTCCCCTCTTTTGCCCGTCCACCTGTCCCCCTCCTTCCAGCCTGAAATGCAGATGTGAGAGAAGCAGGCCTTTCAGCCTTCTTGGACCACAAGGTGGCCTTGAAGGTGGAAGCCAGGTGCTAGCAATACTGGGTCCTGACCCCTACCTCTGATTTCCTTTTATGTGATAGAAGCAGACTTCTGTCTTAAGTCAGTTCTTTTTGTTTTGTTTTGCTTTTTGTTACATGCACTAGTCCTAAGTGATGGAGGTGACATGAGAAAGTTTGCTTTTCGGGGGATGGTTGTGGCAGGAGTGAGGGCCTTTTCCTCTCTCCCCCTGAGTACGGCTGGGGTAGGCACAACCCACGTTAGCCGAAATCTCTTCACCAATTATGCCACAGAATTGCTTTAACTATAATTCTGTTAGGGTTTTAACGTTTACTGTATGTGTACACTTGGTGGGGAAAACTCAAAATCCATTTTATAGGTGTAGAAATATATACAGTCATGTGTCGCTTAATGACGGGAAGACATTCTGAGAAATGTGCCATTGGGCGATTTCATCGTTGTGCGAACATCATAGAGCGTATTTACAGAAACCTGGATGGTATAGACCACTACACACCGAGGCTCTATGGTACTAACCTTGGGACCACCACCATATACATCATTGGCCAAAATGCCATTACGCAGTGCATGACAATATAGTTATTTCTCTCAGATTTATTATTTCCTCTCTGAATGCATAGTTGATACAATTTTGGGGATGGTCATTATTCTTAATTTTATTTTCTAAACCATGTTGGGGAAACTTACTTCCATTGAATTGGTGCTGTCCAATAAAACCTTCTACAATGATAGAAATGTTCTATAGCTACGCAATTTAATAAGGTGCCACTAGTCACATATGGCTACTGAACTTGAAATGTGGCTAGTGCAACTAAGGAACTAAATTTTCAATGTATTCATTTAAATTTAATTAACTAACTTAATTTAATGTGGCTAATAGCTACCTATCGGACAGCATAGCATTAAATAACTCCATTTTTATAACCTCAAGAAAGCAGTTAACATCTCACTTTGATTTCATCTTTTCTTCCAGATGTTAAGTGCACATTTCCTTGTTTCCTCTTTCATTATAGGAGCTACTCCATCCCTGACTCACCTTGGCACCCCTCAGTGAACAAACCCTCCCCCGCCTCCCCCTGGACCAAACACACATCAGGAATAGCCACACACACGCCTCCTCACCCAGCACATGCCTCACGCACCAGCATACCCACACTTACCGCTGTCTTGGAACTCTCCGTGTACGGCAGGGGCTTGGCCAGCTTCTCCACGTCTGCCCCACTCGAGCCCACCTGCGTGTACGAATAGGAGCCACGGAAGTAGGGGTCGCTGCCCCAGGCTGAGCGCAGGATTCGCCGAGGTTTTGGAATGTTGGGGTTCCCTGTAAGAGAGTCAGAAGAGCCAAGAGCAGGGAGGATAAGAAAGGGCCACACACAGCAGACACCCCTGTGTCTCCCACTCCACCTCCGGGGCTGCAAGAGGACCAGGCTGCTACAGGTAGGCATGGAGGGTGGAGGGTGGAGGATGGAGAAGGAGGCTGTGGTTCAAGCTGGGCACCCCTCAACGCCTCCTGGTGACCCCCAGCAAAACAGCTCATGTCTCTGAGCCTTCATTTCCCTATCCAAAAAAACATTCCAGAGCATCATGTTTCCCCTTCCCACGTCAGGATTCTCACGAGGCTCTTCTGGGACAGTGGAGGAAAGATGTTCAACTGAAGAATCAGATGGTAAAACACAAATCCATCTCTTAGCAAGACAGCATGAGTAGGAAAGGGGCAATCTGAGGTTTCCTGGGGATACCCAAGATTTTTACCATTCAGCTCTTAAAGAGAAGAAACACAGCACCTATGGTTTTGAGTGTTTTAAGTTCCAAACGGAGGACAGCTTGCAGTTGAGGTGCCCGAAGCTGGGACATGGTGCCCGGCAGCAGCTCTCCCAGTGGGCGGGCCACCTCGGTTCACAATCTGGGGAGGGGAGAGCTACCATACCGTTCAGGGGGTTCAGAGGGTCTGGCAGAGGATGGCCAACAGAGAGAGGCCAGTGGAAGCAGGCAGTGGCGGCACAGGGACGCACCTGTGAACTGCCGCAGCATCTCCGTGCAGATCTCGGCCACTGCCTCGTCGTCACACTTCTCCATGACGAGGGCCTCCTCCCCACAGATCCAGCCGCTCAGCACGTGGCCATAGCGCTCGGGCGGGTAGAGGACATCGAAGCCACAGATCTTGCGGTACCAGAGCTCAGGCGGGTAGGTGAGGGTGCGGCTCTCCGCCTCGTCCTCCCACACAAACTGTAAGCTGTTGCATTCAGGGCCCCAGAAAGGCTCCTCAAATTCCAGAAAGATCTTGTCGGTGGTGCCAATGCCCAGGCGGTGGATGGCAGCCACCTTCTCCACGGGCAGGCCTGGCCGGAAGAAGCTGGCGTGCTGCCTCTTGAGCACGCCCAGCGACACCGTCACAATCACGTGGTCCGCCGGGATCACCTCGCAGTCCTCACACTCCACCACCACCGGCCACTGCTCATCCTCCTCCCGCCCGCTCCCCCGGGGTTCCTCTCCACCCTGGCTGCCCTCCCCGGTATCGTGATTGTGGTCACCCTCACCCCGGGGCTCAATCTCAGGGCCCCGGGGCCGGGCCGAGGCCTGGTCCCAGTGCACACAACGGACGGGTTTCCCCAGCTGGATGACGTGGGCAGGGATGCCCTCAGCCAGCAGCTCCACAACCCGCATGAAGCCTGAGGGGATGATGTGGTGGGCGCCGGGGATCTCGGTCCATTCCCCAAAGGCACTCAGGGACACCTCGTCTATGCTGTGCGAGCTACTCTCACAGCTCTCCACCTGTAGGAAGAGCCAGAGAGGAGCCAGATGACCACCAGGGCTGAGCTAGAGTTGGGGCAGGACCTCAGAGCAGCACCGCCCTCCTTGGACCCAGATTCCCCAGAATCAGTCTTCCTCACTCTGTCACCTGTACTTAACAAAGCTCCAAGACAGCAAAGATACCTTCAGGTACTGCTGGATCATGGCGAGCTTCAGGCGCTTGGTGGCCTCCGGGTCGTCAGGGTCATCCCTGATGCGGTTGCGCACCTCCTCCCGGGTGAACACCCCCACGCTGTTCTGACTCTCAGCATTCACTGGTTTACCATGCCGGAAGAACTCCTGGGTCAAGTTATAGACCTGCCAGAGAGACCCAGGAGACTGAAAACACAGCCCCTCATCCCACCTCCATCTCAGACCAAAGGGCCCCAACTCAAAAACTGCCACCTCCCAGGTGTTCCCAGATGTGCTGAGCCCACAGCGCCTCTCCCTTGGTGAATCAATGCAATGCTGAGGCTGCACCCACTGAGTCATGGTTCGAGTGTAGCAAGCTGCCCTGGGCAGCCAGCTTCCTTGCCTCCAGACACCACCCTCTGAGTGTGTGAGGGAGGTAGGATGGCCTGGAGGCTCTCGTGCTGGGCCCCTGCTTAGAACAAAGTGAAACCTCTGGTGCCTGTACAGTCTGCGGGAAAGGAACCATCCCCCACCCCTGCCCCCGGAGGCTCTACACAGCTGAGTGCACCACCCGCTGGAGAACCCAGGTCTGTGCATGTTTCCTTTTTCTAAGAACCAAAAACATGAACCCTTTTCCTGCCACCCCTGCCAAAGCATGTCTGCTCCGCCTTCTCCCAGGAGGGCACTCTGGAGCCGGGGCCTAGCCAGTATTTGGGGGGAGAGAGAGCAGAAGGGGCCCTGGAATCTGATCTCCCAGGAGACCCTCCCTAGCCCTGCTCAGGTCCTCACAACGTGCCCTCTTTACTGCAGGACTCAGCTGCATTTAAGGAAGATGGCCCTGTTGGGCAGGGCATGCAGAGGGGAGGGAGGCCCCAGTGTGGAACGGAAATGGAATGAAAATACACTTCACGGGCATATTTTGGCAAGAACTCCAACCCTCACCTCATCAACAGAAAGCGATGAACGGTCCCTTGGAGCAGGGTTCTACCGCCTCCGCTGCCTGCCTGGTACATAGCTCCCAGGTGAGCAGTGCTGGGTCAGGCATGGGGTGCCAAAGGACAAGGCCTGAGCCCCAGCATTCACTCTACAAACATTTACGGGGCTCTGTCCAGACACAGGTTGTAATGGTGAGCAACACAGACACAGCACCGAGCCCCTGCCCTCACTCGAGCTGGGGAGGCTTTCCATCACTCAGCTGTATCTACATGATGTACTGTGACGTGAAAGAACCCAGGGGTTGTAAGATTAACCTGGACAACCTCGAACAGTCAGGAGGTAGTCAGGGGGGCAGTGGGATGGAGAAGAAAAGTATTTCAGGCAGCAAGAACAGCATCTTTAAAGATGAGGGAGAGGATATAAGATGCGTTCAAAGGGCTCAGTCTCGCTGAAGTGGGCAGCGAGGAGAGAAAAAGTTGCAAGAGATGATGGGAAAGGCAGGCAGGGGCTGGGGCATGAACAACTAAGAGTCATGTCAAGGACTCTGGACTTTGTCCAAGGCCCTGGCGTCACTGAAGGGCTGTGAGCGTGATCACCCGCCCACTCTCCTGCCCAAGACACCGGCAAATGTGGGCTCCTAGGACAAACATCTGGGGCTGGTGCTGATTAGTGGTGTGTTTCCCTTCGTAAATTGAGTTTGAATTTGGTCAGCACACATTCACGGGAGTGATATCTGCCCTGTCACTCAGCCCAGGTATAGGCCCTGTAGCTACAGAGTAGCTGGCACCCCAGCTGGGGAGTCCAGGGTGGGTTCCCACCCACCAACATTCCACTCAAGGGCAAGGCCTCCACATGAGACAGAAACATGAATTAAACATGTCTCTAAAGTAGAAAATATAAAGAAGAGAATGAGTTAAACTGTTCATTTTCCTCCCTACAGTCACAAGATGCTAGGCGTTTGGCCTTAACTGGAGTCCTCAGCAAATTCCTCACGCAGGACCACTGCCAAAGAATCAGCCTTTCAACTCGCCTCCTCCTCCCTGGGTTGTTTCCTTTGGTGATAAGCAGTGTGGTACCCAGTCCTCAGCCCATGTTGACTAAAGGCCAAAATGCCCAGCTGAGGAGTAACAAATTTAGTCCATCTAAGCGATTCTTTGTGTCAACCACCAACTAGGACAGCCTTAACTGAACGTGGGTTTGTCACATGGGTACAGTCTCCTGTCCTGGGTTAAATGACACCTTCCCAGTGTGACCAAGGGAAAAGGGACAGACCTGTAATGTCTAATACTACTCACCTCAATTCTCATTAAGCACTTTTCATCAGGATCTCATTTAATCCTCATGACATTATGAAGTACGTATAACTATGTTCACTTTACAGGTCAGGAAAGTACAGCTCAGAGAGGCTCAATAACTTGCTCAGATTATACAGCTAATAAATGGTAGAACTAGTACTTAAATCAAGGCAGTCTTGCTCCAGAGATTAAGCTCCATATGATACAACTGCACAAACTCATTTATTTGTTAACAAATATAACACATTCAAATGAGTAGCCCTGCAAAATCATCACCTTTGGAGGGAGGCTGCATATTTTTGACGCCACCCCCAGGCAGGGCTTCACATGCTTAGAGCACACCTCTCAGAATGGCCTTCAGTACTGCAAATCTATCTCTTGACCGCATGGTTAACACCTCCTCCTCCTGACCCAAAGTATCACCCAGAGTGATAACCCACCTCTATCCATCCTACTTTCCATGACTCACACTCTTGGCTTTCAAAAATCAAACCCATGAGCACAAGTTGATAACAATCTACTTTTAAGGACATTTAAAAGAACAAGTAAGTCATGGACCCTGAAAGACACTCTCAAGAGGCATCCATGCTTAAAGCACTCACAATAACCTGGGATCAGGGTATGACTGGTTCCCAGTAGACCAGGAAGCTCTACTTTGAAGAATACTAGTCCTTACCTTCTCATTAAAAATTCAGTCTCTTTGCACATGAGTGCGAACACACAATACCATGGGACTGCACACAACATATTTTGTGAGTGTACACACATAAGACACTGAGTGTGACTGCCCTCCATATTGAGCATGGACTACCCCAAAGCAAGGGTCATTTCTCCTTTCCCATGCTCAAGAGACATAGAAAGTGTACAATAGATGCTTTTTTTTTTTTTTTTTGAGGAAGATTAGCCCTGAGCTAACTACTGCCAGTCCTCCTCTTTTTTGCTGAGGAAGCCTGGCCCTGAGCTAACATCCGTGCCCATCTTCCTCTACTTTATATGTGGGATGCCTACCACAGCATGGCTTGCCAAGCAGTGCCATGTCCGCACCCAGGATCCAAACCGATGAACCCCGGGCTGCAAAGAAGCGGAATGTGCGCACTTAACCGCTGCACCACCAGACCGGCCCCACAATAGATGCTTGTTGACCAATTTACTGACCTGGAGTGCAAGATCCTTATACTATAAAGGATGAGCTGTCAGAAGGCAGGACCTACATATTACCTTGCTTGTTCAGTGCAGGTCACAGAACCAATGAAAGATACCAAAAATATTAACATTTTTAAAAAATCCGAATAAGACAAGGAAGGATGTGTCCCATTGCCACTTCTATCCAACACTGTACTGGAGCTATTAGCCAGTGCAACAAGGCAAGAAAAATAAATAAACAGTCTTAGGCTGTGCTGTCCAATACAGTAGCCACTAGACACCTGTAGCAATTTAAAATTAAATTAAATATTTAGTTCCTCAGTTTTATGAGCTACATTTCAAGAGGTCAAGAGCCACATGTGGCTAGTGACTACCATACTGGACAGTGCAGGGCTGAAAACAGCTCTATCATTGTGAAAAGTTCCGTTGGACACTGCTGGTCTAAAGATTAGAAAGGAAAAAATAAAATTCTAATTTTTTATAGGATTACAAACATAAAATTCCAAAATATTATTAGAATATAAATTAATATATTAATAGATATAGTATTAGAATTAAAATAATTTAGCAAGGCGGCTAAAATCAATATATAAAAATTAGTTATAGTTCTATATACTGGGGAAAATTAGAAAATAAAGTTTTTTTAAATTACCATTTACAAAAGTATTCAAAAGCAATAACAACAACAATCACCAACTAAGTAATAAATAGTACTAAATAAATAAATAGTACTAATAGCCTAGTAATAAATCTAATAAAAGATGTTCAAGGCCTTTCTGGAGAAAGATGTAATCATGTGTATCAATAATCTCTTACCTAGTACTTCTCACTCATCATCTTCATTCTATCCCCAAATTGCCCTGATTTTCCAAATGTAGGCCCAGAGAGTGTGCAAAGACATGACCGAGATCCTAGACATCCCCAGCAGGTCGCCCAACTCCCCCCACACTGCCAGGGCACTCCCTGCCCCCACACCGTTGTGCCCAGCTGCCCTGCTAACGCCTCACCTCGTTGTATAAATCGCTGAATTCCTCAACCACGTCCTTGGGGATCCTGCGGCCACGGTTGGTAAGGTAGCAGGCCACGCCATTCTTGGAGTAGCGGCTGATGCGGCCCACGCTGCGCTCCCCATCAGTTGTCTCTTCCAAGAGGCCGTTGGCTTCTGCTAGATGATAGATGGGATTCCCATGGGAGCCATGGATCCAGGTGGCTCCCAGTTCAAAAGTGGAGTGTCCTGATGGTGACAATAAGAGGCCCTTAGAGGGGCAGGGACTTCTTCAAAGGGGGCCAGAACACTGCCTCACTCTCCTTCCTCCAAGAGGATCCTTCCACCTCCCACAACAGAGCAGAAAAGGGATTAGATCCCCCTCTGGCAACCAACCAAAGTCTTCAGTGAAAAGTTCCCCATGGAAACACATGTGGCACAAAATGGGTTCCACTTTATGGCTGAGATAACTGCCCCCCTGAACGACTCTGTGATTTGCCACAGCATCACCGCACTGGATTAGTCAGAAGGTTCTCTTTTTCCACCCCACCTTTTTCTAAGCTAACACCAGACACCAGACCCTCCCACCTCATGGGCGCCTCCCCCTCAGAAGAAATTCTGTGGCGCCTGAGGGTACAGTGGTCCCAGCAAGGGGAGGGAGGTCACCTGTGAGGAGACCCAGGAAGTGACCCTGCCCTCCAGACCCAAGGTCCCCCTCTGACCTTATTCTAACACCTCAACATCCCGGTGGCCCAGAGTCTAAGCCCTTCTCCCAGACAGAAAGTGGCCACCTCCCAACTCAGTCTGGGGCAGAGGAAAGAGGGCCAACATCCCAGTCTGGAAGACTCTTCCCCAAGGCAGTCTAAAACAGACTTCCAGAGAAAACTAAGCTCTCTCATCCCACAGCACAGGTGGCAGAATCCTGAGAGGCCGACAGGGGCAGGGGGCAACTCCGGGGCAGGGCTGGGGGCTGCTTCTACCACCTTGTCCACAGCCGAGATGCTCTGCGGCAAGTTGCCTCTCGCCTGGGCCTCAGTTTCCTCTTCTGATGCTGCAGGGACTCTGATGCATTTGTCTCCTTCCCTGCCTAGCTCCCAGGGAAGTTGAAATAATGAAAGGAGAATAGAGAGGAACGTTTTTTGGTGTTTTGTTTTGTTTTGGGTGGCCTGATTCAAGATATCACGTGTAGTCAGTTTTTTGCCAAGATGGTCACAATAATTTCTACTATCCTTACACGCGGCCCTTTGCAACGTGACTTTGCCACTCCCATCAAGAGGTGGAATCTATCTCCCCACCCTTTGAATCTGGGCTGGGCATGTGACTTGCTTAGATTAAAAGAACGCATTGAAAGTGACATTTGTGGCTTCAGACATTCAGACCTAGGCCTCAAGAGACCTCGTGGCTTCCACTCTCACCCTCTTAGAATGTGACCACCACGGAGAGAAACCTAGGCTTATCCTGCTGGAGACACAGGGCCCAGCCAAAAAGCCAGTTCCAACCACAGACACAGGGGTGAGGCTATCTTAGACAAACCAGCCCCAGTCAAGCCGCCAGATGACTGTAGCTATGTGGGGGATCCTAGGCAAGACTAGCGAAAGAACCGCCTAGCTGAGGCTTGCCCAAATTTCTGACCCACAGAATATAAGCAAATAAAATGGTGTTGTTTCAAGCCATGACTTTTTGGGGCGGTTCGTTAGGCAGCAATAGCTATCTGATACACCACAAGATGTATACACTGCAACAATCCCCCTAACCCCAGGAACTGAGTATTTCTCTTTTTTGTGCCTTCTTTTTCCTGGGCTGCTTCTAATTAAACCACCAGTTACTAAAAATAGCCCTGTATGCATGTATGTGCCAAACACAGAGCAAGAGCAAACACAATCAACCTCACGCCACAGCCAGTGAGACAGAATTTCCTGGTGTCTCTGGAAAAAGAGGCAGGAATGTGTAGCGCTCTTTGTTCAGGAAAAGTTGGCAGCCTGGAGGGCACGAAAAGCTGAAAATCCAGTGCCCTGCCTCCAGTGGGTTCCTGGGGGCATTTATTCCTAATCCTCCTTTAGAGCCTCAGGCTTGGGGCTCCCCAAAGTGCCTGACCTGAGTTCCCAATAGGAGAAGGGGGCCAGCACCCGGGGGAGGGTCCTAGACCTTCCCAGGGCACACTGGGCAGCTCTACGTCATAATCACTGAGCAGTGACGTCCAGGCATGAGGCACCCTTCCTGGCTCCAGACAGTCAGCAAAAGCAGGAACGAGGTGAGCAGCTTGAGGTCAGCAGGAAGGTCAGTGCCCCAACCCCATCCCCCAGGCTCTGCAAGGAGGTAGGGCGGACCAGAGCAGGCCCCAGTCTGAGGATGTTTCCCACCGTCTTCCACATGCACCTCACCTCTGTCATTCTTGCTACACCCCTGCATCCAAAGGGCATCAGACACCATCTCCATGTCTACTCCACAGTGTCCTTGGAGCCTCTGGTCCTCAATCCCTGCTCTCACCACCATGAGTCACAGCTACCGTCTCACACTGCACATACAACACAGGTACATACACCCTTGTCCAGACATGCTCTCCCCTCTCCTGGCAGGGTCGGCCTGGTCTTCCTCACATAGATCATTCCACACGTATTGCCCCCTCTTTCTTCTATCTACCCAACTCCCACCTTCACCTGAAGCCCTGCCCTGGCTCCCTCCTCCCAGGAAGGCTTCCTGCCTGATGCGTACCCCCTCAGCCTCCCGCAGCCCCATTTCTCCCACCTCGTTGTCCTGTGCCATCATTTCACTGCATGGCAGGTCTCAGCTGTCAGCTACCACTGAGACCGGGCCATTTGTCCCCAAGTCTTCTGCTTCTGTGTCAGACCCTGAATGTTTTAACAAGACTCAAGAACCAGGAATGGAGCCACCCCTTCCCTAAGGCTCCCAGCCACCCCATCAGGTGTAGAGCAAAGAGTCCTAAGACTTCCCTGCTGACTGTCCCCAGGTTTATGAGTGTCTTGGATGGCGCCTTCATCCTCACTGCCAACACAACTCCTGTGTGTGCCAGGAGAAGACAGACACAACCTCACGTACGCCTTCCAGGAAATGTTCTCGGGGAAGACTCCTAATGTGATCAAAGTCTCTGAAAGAAGAGAGAAAGTCCCCATGTCTCCCCAACCTCTGCTTGGTCTAAACCAGACCACCTACTTCTCTGAGCCAGTTGCCACATCCAGCAAAAGCGGGCATACATAGACGCTGCTTGGCCTTGCTGCCCCGTGTGGGAATAGACAGACACAAAATCCTCCGGAGGGTCAATGCAGCCCACAGACTCAGGCCACCGTGCACGGTCCCCCTGGTCCCTACCTGCTCAACCTCTCATTGGTCAGACCCCCTAGCTGGGAAGCCCTGACCTCCAGCTGCATTTCTGGCAATTCCCCACTGGCTAAGACCCCTGGCAAAATCTGCCCACCCCTGGGGTAACAGTCTTACCTGGTTGCTTTCTCTAGAGTCCTCATTACTCTGCAACCTAGACAGACTCACTTCCCAGACAATCCTAAGACCTGCCCACCACCCACAAGAAGGCCCAGAATCCCCTTCCACCTCTGCAGCCCTGAGCTCCTGCTGTGCCAGGCTAGCTCTCAGTCATGATTTACTAATTCACACTCAAAAGTTAATGACCAATAAAAGCTTACAGGATTCCCCTTCTTGTGAAATAGAAACTGGTCCACTCACTGCCAAGAGAGTTTGGTTCTCGGTGTCCCCTCCCTCTTAAACACTGTGAACCTTAGGTCACGTCCCAAAAATGGAGGCCAGAGGCCCACACTGCCACCTCAGACGGCTGCTGAGAGGGCAAATAAAGCTTCTGGAAAATGCCTAGGCAGCATGCATGATGGATCACTTACCCCAGGGAAGAAGCTAAAATACTGAGATTTCAGGTAGGCCCAGGGCACTGGGGGACAAGAGGTGACCTTGGGAGGTGGCTGCACCAAGGTGGCACTCACCGAGTTTCACGCTCTGCACGCGGCCTCCGATGCGGCTGGAAGCCTCAAGCACAGTGACATCCGTGAAGCCCTGCTCCAGAAGCGCTTTGGCTGCAGCCAGGCCAGCCAAGCCGGCGCCGATCACCACCACGCGAGGCTGTCCCCTTCTCCGTAGGCCACGACTGAGAGGGTCATCCGCACTGTCGCCACTGGATTCACAACTTTGCATACCGTCCGCACTCGCCTCCTAGGAACCTGCGGGGGGTGGGGGTGTCACAGCTCACCTGCCCTGCCTTCCCTTTCCACCTGCCCCAAGGGACACTCAAGGGCTCTGCCCTCGAGGGGAAGCCTCAAGCCCTCCCCCTCCTCCCTGAGGACCTGGACAAGCGCCAAATCCAAAAGATGTGGGGAGGGAGGGAGGAAGAGACACAGGGAAGGAGAGAGAAAGGGAGGGCTGCAAGCTGGGCAGCCCCCACCAGCAAGCAGGAAAGCTGGGAGCCCACCCTGAGCCCCTTAAATCCATCAATCTCATCCCAAACCTGCTAGGCACGGCCTCTTCCCCAAGGTCGAGACAAGAGCCGGCCAGAAATATGATGACCGAGAAGGCCAAAGTCAGGAGAAGTTGCCCCTGGCACTGCTCACCCTGGACCAAATCAGCCCAGCATGGCTGCTATGGTTCAGCTCACACCAACCTGGGGATGCTCACACTGACCCCAGGATGCTTGCACAGACCTCAGGATGCTCGCACAACCAGGATACTTGCACACACAGCACTGGACCCTCTGTTTTCCCTCCCTTGCCTGGCTCTCCCTTGCCCCTTCTCTTCTCCTCTGGCTTTCTGTTAGTCTTTCACAGCCTCAATGAGGTGGCAATTTGGTGGGCAGGACACAGTCCTGCCCTCCACCCGCCCCCCCCCCCCAGAAAGTGCCACGAGGCCTATATTGGATGAGCCTCTGCTATTCCGGGTAGGTCTCTGGTTGTTTTCCCCAGTCCACCCAGCCCCTTAGTCACCGCAAAGCAGCAAGGAGCCCAGGAAACAGTGGGCCATGAGGACCCGTGGCACCAGAGGCCAGACATCAAATTGACAGTTACGCTAAGCCAGCTTGCTCAGAGACGCCAGGCTAGGGAGCCGATGGCTGTGAGGCCTAGAGGGTCCCTGAATCCAGCCCCAGAAGGCTACCCTTCTATTCCCAGAGTGACCACGAGGGTTTGAAGGTGTTTGTGGGCCATCCCGGAGAGTCACTCAGCTCTGATCCTGTCCCTGTTCCTCCCCTGACCCAAACAACTTAGATCCCAGATGCCCTTGCTGAGGTTTCAGTGGCAGAGGTTGCAGACTCTAATAGTATCCAGGATCTAACAACAGGGGAGCAAACGTGGGTGGAAGGTGGCTGCTGGGCAGTGGATAGGAGGCATATAAAAAGCTGTCACCAGGTTGGCCTGGTAGCATAATGGTTAAGTTCGCGTGCTCCGCGGTGGTGGCCTGGGGTTCTTGGGTTCAGATCCCGGGTGCAGACCTGCACCACTCATCAAGCCACGCTTTGGCAGGCAACCCACATACAAAGTAGAAGAAGACTGACACAGATGTTAGCTCAGTGACAATCTTCCTCAAGCAAAAAGAGGACTGGCAACAGATGTTAGCTCAGGGCCAATCTTCCTCAAGCAAAAAGAGGAAGATTGACACAGCTGTTTGTTCAGGGCCAATCTTCCTCACCAAAAAAAGGTGTCACCTATACCTAATAAAGCTGAGCAAAACTGTTCCCACAACACAGCAATCCCACTTCTAAGAATAACACCCAAGAGAAACAGGGCATATTCCATCAGATAGACATGCTAAAGAATATTCATAGCAGCTTTATTTATAATAGCCAAAAAACAGAAACAACCCAAAGGTCCATCTACAGGAGAATGGAGAAATATATTGTGCTATGTGTAGCATATTCATAAAGGGAATATTTTTCAGCAATAAAAAGAACTCCTGATACACTCAGCAATTTAACATCGAGCAAAAGAAGCCAGAGGCAAGAGAGCACCTCCTGTATGACTCCATTTACGTGACGTTCATGAAGAGGTAAAATCGATCTGTGATGACAGAAGAGAGATTGGGAGGGGGAGAACGACTGGAAAGGGTCAGGAGGGAACCTTCTGGGGTGGAAGAAATATGTGTCGATCTGAAGGGTGGTTACACAATGTACATATAAGGATCCACTGAGTTGGGCATTTAGGATCCGTGCCATCACTGCAGGTCTGCATACCTCAATAACCACTCAGATATCTCTTCCTGGCGCCCCATAAAACGATGAAAGCTGGCACCCTGACCTTCTCCACCCATCTCAAGGTCTGAGGGCTGAAGTTCCATCCTACTTGCACAGCGCCCTCTAACATCTTTTTATCGTAGGTTTAGCAAAGCGGTCTTTTTCTAAATATGCTCTCAGGCTGTGATGCTACTCCTATGCCTCCCCCCTCCCACCCACTCTACCTGCCCACGCCACCCCTGGGCAAGGACGGGAATGTCCCCCAACTCCTGCCCCCAAACTTCCTGCACCCAGGCCTGCCCACTCCGTGCAGGAGCGGTTCCCCAGAGGGCCGGAAGGTGGCGCCCGAGGCCCGGAGCCCTCGCCCCGCACCGCCCCGCCCACCCCGGGCAGAGTCTCCGTTCACGGGCAGGGGCTCCCTGCTCTTGGCTCCCACCCCCTTCCAGAAGCCATGTCGCGGCTTTCCCATTCCTCTCCCGCCTCCTTCTGTGCTGCTTTTGTCCCCACCCCCGCACCCCACGGTGTTCTGCCCGGCCTCCCGCGAGCACGGGGCTCAGGGCTGGCTCCAGTCCTTGCCCCACCTCCCCCTTTCCCCTCCCCGCTCCCCCTCTGCCTCCCTCCCCTCCCCCAGGTTCGCCTTCCGGTGGACTAAATTTAGAGGTGAGGGTGTGGCTGCCTGGACAGGCTGCCTCTGCGGCCATCGGGGAGGAAGGGTCCCCGATGTGACGCGGCAGCCAGCCTGCTCTGCGTCACGTCTGTAAACACACGGGGTGCTCCGAGCTGCTGCTGACGCCACCTGCCAGGCACCCCGCCCTGCTCCCACGCCCCAGTTCCCAAGCACTGGGGGAGCCCTTGCCTGCGTGCTGGTCTCCAGGCCTCCGTCCCCACCCCGAGCCCGAGGCCACCCCCCAAAACAACCTCTTATACAATGGAAGGGTGGGATCGCTGCAGTGGTTCTCAAAGCTCCCTGGTGGAACGCCTTCTTGAAAAGCTCCCGTGGGGCCCAGGGTGTGACTGGGATGAAACGGGGTCCGGCTCCCCCTGAAGTCTCATCAGAGAACTCCCAGGCTCCGTGGGGCACCACCTCTGAAAACCCGGGGTGTGGATAAGTTGCTGCCTTGGGAAGCCCTATAGGGAAGAACACTGGGGCAGCAGCACCTTCCCGGCCGGCTACCTGAACTGCCTGGCTTCCCAGCCTCCATTTCCTTCTATCGAAGTGACTGGCTTGTCCTAACTACATTGTTGTGACAGTTAAAGGCCCCATGTGGATATCACAAGATTGTCAGCATTTTCAAGAGCCTCATGTGAAAATCATTTGTAAAGTTCTGTAGCTGAATCATGAGCAGACTGTCTTTGGCATGGGGTTTAGGAAGGGATTGTGGGAAACGCAGGCCAGCAGGTAGCCTTGAAGATGAACACAGAAAGGACTGTGTTCCCAACATCTCGGAGACCTTGAACTCAAATAGACATCACATGTGGGCGCCAGGAGGAAGCAGGTAAGCAGGGGCCATGTAGGTCACCTGCACCCCTGACCCTCACGGCTAATCCCACAGTCATGTCCCTTTATAGGCCTTGTCCCAGATGGGCCCATCAACCCCTGGGGTCCCCAGGAAGCCAGAGAAGCCACCAGCACAGCCCACAGAGGGCAGAGAGATGAGGAGTCTGCCCTGTGGCTCCCCACATTGGCCCATGGAGCCAACACACCCTGGGGTCCAAACCGAAAGGGAGAGAGAAAACTACCCAGGGGAACACCTACTATGTGCTGGGCCCTCAGCTAAATGCTGAGCTGGACCTTCCAGCGCCCTGTGAGCTCCAGCTAGGGCGGTGAGGAGCAGGGGAGAAGCAATTTGTTTTCTGCTGGTTTGTGTCATCTTTTCCTTTCCAATACTTTTTTTTTTTTAATTTTATGAGAAAATGCCTTATTGAGGAAGAAGAAACCCTTAATGGTTCTCGGTGCCTGCCTGCCCTTCTCTCGCCTTCGAGAAAGAAATAAATAAATAACATCCGCTCCTTGATCTGTATGCACAGGAGAAACAGAACACCCTGTACTTTTCGAGCAGATAAAGGAGAGAAGAAAAGTGCTGGCTCAGCCAGGCAGGGAGGAGGGGAGGGGAAGGAGGGAGGCACAGGGCAACAGACACTTGCCTTCTCGATCCAGCTTCCATGGCAAAATGGGGGTGGGAGCCGGGGGCCCCCATGGCTGCAGACAGCCAAGCCTGGTAGCTTCAAGAAATCAGGCCAGCCACAGCATGAGTGTCCCACCCTCTTTCAAGAAGCCCCCCTGCCCACCCCCTGCTCTGGCCTTCAGGCCACCACCTCCCCCTGCTGCCCGGAGCCAATACTGCCCTCACTGAACCTGTCCAAGGAGCCAAGCTTGACAGAAGGCAGCAGGGCAAGGAGAGTGGGAAAGAGAGAAGACAAGCCCTGTCCCATGGCAGGGTCACCAAAGAAGGATGGATGAAGACTAGGAGGCCACGCAACGGGAATGGACACTAGCGGCCAAGCATGTGTCCACTGCCACTTCCCCAGCCACCTTCTCTGAACATCCTCACGAGTTTCATTTTGTCCCCCTTTACCCTCTTAAGAAGTGCCTCCTAATCGCCATATACCAGAGACATGTTTTAGTCCTGGCCTCCAACATCTGACAGTCACAACCCTGCTGAGCCCCTCCTAGAAATGCCCAGAACTGAGCTGGGGGCACCGCGCATTTCCTTGTGCTTCCCCCACAGTGCTTAAAGCTGCTGGAGCACCGATCACTCCCAAGGCTGGAAGCTGAAGGTATCCTTAGTGGAGGACCTGCCCTTCCCATAGGGTCAAGCCAAGTCAACCCCACAGCCCAAATCACTGTTGCCTCTACCCTCAGCTTCCACAGGTGCCCGTCTGCCTCCTCCATCTGAA